GTTCTACTGCCCCGCCCCCTGATATCTACCTCTGGTGCTGTGCTTGTGATTCGAGTCAATTATAGGTGTGCTTGTGAATTTTGTTGGTGTTTGGATAAAAAGGAGAAAGCTGTCAGTCAAAAGGCCACTCTGGCTTTGTATCTGGGGGGCTGCAAAGGCTTCTAAACCTGTATTTGTATGAATAAAAATGAAGGGATTTAGGAGCAGACTGTTTCTTCTGCAGACTTGTCAAAAATCTGACCTTCACTGAAGCAGTGGGGGATGATAGCAGAGGGGAAGGAAAGAACTGAAGATTTGAAAAGCTGAGGGGCAGTGACCTCTACATATACTAAAATGTAATAAGAAAATAAAAAAAGGTAAAAACAAAATAAATCGGATGCCAGAATGAAAGACTGTGTTCTGCACTCTTCCTGTCTGAGGTATAGACTAGAACCAAAATACAGAATTCTTCAACAGATTTTATCTGATGAACATCATATATGAGAGAGACCCCTGGTAAATAGAAACAAATACACCTGCAGCTTACATTAATGCTTCAGGTGTTAAGACACCAAATACTTCTCTGTGCATTCATATACATGGTAATTGATAAAGGTATTTCATACTTGTATACAGCAACAAATCAATCTGTCACTATTCAGGTGCTTATTTTTTATTCCAGTGCAGCGCCTGGATTAGATGTGACAAACCCCACATGGGTATTCGTGTCATCAGGTACTGGTCCAATAAAAGTCTATATAATATGAAATTGTGAACAACACAAAACCATAACATTTGAATGTAAAGAACAAGGCAGATGATTTAATGGTACAATCCAATATTTTACACCAGCTCGATCTGGGGAAGGTACTATAAAAAGTAAACAAATGTCAGCCCGTCTACAATGGGCTGTTAATATGACTTCTTTTTTTCATAATTGAACATTCTGTGCCAAAGGGTGCAGGACCACAACTGGAACCTTTACACCACAAAAAAGATGTTACTTAAAAATTTACTCCAGGACTAAAGTGATGATTCTGTCTGCTAGGCTGTATAAGCTCAGCAGTATATGTGTACTGTAAAAATATATATTTAAAATCTAATATTCTGGCTGCTTGGGAACCCCAAAATCCCAATGAAACTGCATAAAACGATCATCTTTTAAAAATACATAATTTTTTATTTAATTTGACATGGAAGCATGAGTATTTTTGTATTGTATTTTTGTTTGTTTAAAAAAAAACTTTTATAAGTTTTATAATGATAATACAATCCTTTATAAAAAAGAATTGATTAGATAATTAAATGTACATTTACAAAACCACACTACTAATGTTAGATTAAATTTATTAGTTAGTGAGTATTCAATGTTCTTTCACAAAAGTCAGCTTGATAGCATGCGAGGCTGCTTCCAGTGAATTTGGTGAATACTACTTTAAGTGCAGGGGTGTAGACACTGAATTTAACACTAACCATCATGATTTGCATAATTTCTTATGATTATGGCTTTATGTGTATTCCAGACACAGTAAGTTTCTACAACGAATGGGTTATTTAAACTTGAAAAAAAAAGACTAACTGAAGACTTTTAAATCTCACACAGTGAATGATGGGAAGTCTGCTAGGTCAGACTGTGAAACAGTAAAATTATAATCTTTTTTGAAAACTGGGAACTCTGTGGTGATTCACAACTACAGGATTTTCCTTTTATTTTTATGATGCATGTAATTACACAGTATAGTCAGTAATTTTATTAACATTTCCATGTATTTTAGAAATACAGGAAAATTCTTTGAACCTAGTTTTTGTTGTTTTTTTACAGTGCACCACTATGTTTTCTAAGTTTAAAAACAAAGAACCTTTTTGGGTCAGAAAAACCACAATTATTTGAAAGCCAGTCTGTGCTTAAAGACAGATGCTGGCTGCAAAGCTGTGGAAAGCACTCAATTACATGGGACTAATGAGGTTAGGGACGGGGCATTAGATATCAGGCTCAATTCATAACCACCCCATTTAAATCGAAGGAAAGGCTTTTGCTTCCTGCAAGGTGGCATCGCAACACAAGGTCTGTCGCTGCCGCAGCTTCTTCAGCTGTGCTGTCATTGTTCAGGAGACAAGTGTGGACCTTACATTTTCCAAGAGTTGAAGAAAAAGAATTTTTTCTTTCACAAAAAGAGAGACAACACTTCCTTTCCCAGAACGATTTGTCTTTCTGCTTGACAAGACTCTCTGCTATATTTACCCAACTAAAATTGCAGATGATATACTCTACACTTCTCTCCAACTCTGTCGCACATGGTCCTGTCAGTCACACTAGCTACAACAAAGCTGGACCCACAAGAGCGGTGAAACCCTCAGCCAAACGAATAGAGCAGCAGAGAAAGAAAGAAAATATGAGAAGAGATACAGAGAAGGGCTGAGAAACCTTGTGGGGACTAATTCATTTTTCCATTGCTGGTTGGCTTTTGTTGTTAGAGGGAACAGAGACACACACCAGAGAGAATGGAATTACTGTGCTTTCATTAAGTAGACAACTGCACTGCTGCAAAGCCTCCAAGCACCAGCACAACACAGCCCACCCACAAGATTTCCTACCAAAATACTGCTGTGTTTCTGGGCAGAGTTAGAGAGCTCTATTAGGTTGTTATGCGGCTGAAAAACAAAACAAATTGATCAGTCTGTCAAGCATGGAATTCAGTTCTACTGTGGTTATTTGAACTCCTTTTTGTCTCTCATCAAGGCATGGATGTAACATTTGAGAGGGTGGATGCACAGCGGATTTGGTCTTAAGGGTACAACCAAGCCTTCAAATATCTTTGACATGGACTCATTACTTCATGCAAATGTCATTTTTTTAAATTAAGATTTTTTTTCACAATTTTATATTCAACTTCCATTGTGGTCAAATACAGAATGAATGAATAAATAAATAAACTGTACAGAATCAATTAAAGGGATGGTCACAGAGGAACATACAGTGGGCATTATAAGATTTAAGAACTGAAGGGAAAGGGTTACAGGGAGAGGAAAAGGAAAGAGGAGGGTTAACCGGCATGGTGGATTCCTCTTTAGCCAGCAGTGCCTGTCCATCTCACAGAGGCAGAGGCATTCCCTGGAGGATGGCAGCAGTGGTGGGGGCACAGACTGTGCAGCTCCATGTGGTGCATCTTTCTCATTGCTTACATCTTCTACAACTGGACAGAGGGGCTGTGGGAGCTGCCACAACTCTCATTGCAAAGGCATGACAACATGCAACAGCAGGACTGTACTCAGAGCCAGCTTGGGTCTCTCAGAGGAAGGTGGAGGGGCTGTCAGACAGCACCCACTGCAACATACACTCAAACTCACCAACTATCAGTAACTGCATTAAAGTCAGAAAATGCAGAAAATAATGACTAGATATAGTGATTACACTGGAGAAGGTCCATGTTCAATCTAAGCTCTTAGCTAAGGAGGCCCCGATTCAAAGCATATTTTGTCCGATGAAGAAGTGAGCACAGGGCAACACATGGGAACATGAAGGAAGGTACAACATTTTACAAAAGCAGTCTTGTCTCAAAATATTCCAACTACAAATAAAATAATGAAAGAAAAGATGGCAGAGCAACATGACACACACCCTATTTCGTCACCCTTGTTGCTGCTCAGTCTACTGATAATGTCTCAGCTCTGAGGCTGAATGCTAGACCGCTCCTGACCAAATGCCACATCCTCTGTTCACATCCAGTGTGAGCACCACAGCTGTCACCCTCCTCAGTGTGTTAGGATTTTAACTACTCTCAGTACTGAATCATTAGGACTGAAACTGACAATTATTTTCATGATCACATAGTCTGCTCATTTATTCTTGATAAGTGATTCAACACCTGGGTAAAAAAAGAAAAACAAACAGAAAATTGTGAAACATTTCCATCAGAATTTCTTACAGACCAATGTGATCAAATGTCCATGTTGTCTCATTTTGCCCAACCAACAGAACAAACACCAAAGTGTTTTACAATGCTCGCAGGTCAAAAGGAGGGTGGAGAGGATCACTGCAGACCCCTCACACCCAGAACACAATCTGTTTGAACTCCTCCCCTCTGGACGGCGTTACAGATCACTGCACACCAAAACAACCAGGTACAAGGTCAGTTTCTTCCCCTGAGCCGTCACTCTGATGAACACTTAACCCACAACAGTATGATTGGACAATAACCCTCAGTGCAATACCTGTAAACATACATTGTACAGATCATACAGATTTGTACAGATTTCCATTTTTTAAGTACTCTATTTTTATTCCTATTTTTATCTCACTTCCTAATGAATATTCCTTTGTCTGTTTCCATTGTTTATTGCTTTGTTTATACTGTTTATTTTGTTATACTGTACAGCATTATATTGGTAAAAGAAAGGAGGTCATGGAGGGGAAAAACTAGGAGAAACCACACTAAATGAGTGAAAAGATGGTTACTAATATTGTCTGCCACTAATTCAACATGCCAACAATTGGCCAAAATGCAACCAAGAGGGTCCAACTATTCCCAACAGGGCAGGTCACACCACGAAGACAAGGGTGACAGATGCTCACAGATGGCCCAGCTTGGTGTCTCACAGGTCATAGATTTTTTCCTCCATGTGAGCAATTATTCTGGTATCGACTGCAGTACGTATGGTAATGCAGTATTAATCTGTGAAACAAATGAAGTCACCATCTATAGTCTAATCACTTTAAGGCTGAGACAAGGGGATAATATGAACAACTTGTGGACATTTAAACTTTTCTGGACAATCAAATCTTAATTTGCAAGATAACCTTCCTACTTTTAGCTTGAAAAAGTGTCATGACTTGACCTAAATCCGTGGTATACAACATTACAAAGCATCTCCACCCCCAGTCAGTCCAAAAAACTCTGATGCATTTGCCTGTTTGGTTCAGGCCATTTAGGCTGATATGCAAGCTGTCAGTCAAACAGCTTTGTCTACATTATTTAAAACTGTACTAATCCCATCGCCTTGTACCCAACAGCCCTGCATACCTTTTATGCTGTTGAGTACTTCCTTGAGGTGGCCAAAGCTGTTGAGTAATGGATCCTGTTCTTCGTCCTGGGAAGGGGGAAAAACATGATAAGAACATAAAGGGAGCAAGAAAGAATATCTAAGTCATCATCAGCTGTTTAAGACATTAAAAATAAAACATTAAATCACCATTCCACAGAATTCATGTTACCAGACATCTTTTGGCAAGTCACTTATGTACTTTATCCAGAAAAAAAAGCTAATTTTCTCACAGCTGATCAAAGCCAAATTTTTTCTACTTTTACTTCACAATATCAGAATTCCAGTGAATCAAGACTTTACATACAGCAGGTTCAGTGTCACTTTAAACAGCCTGAAAGCTGCCACAAACTGATGCCATGACTTTAGAATCGACTATCCTTATTGGAAGTCAACTGGGGGTATACGTGTGGCTGTATTTCAGGGCCTCCCTTCAAACCTAGTGTCCCTTTGCTTGTCATCATGATAAAATCTAAAGACAGCAGCCAAGACCTTAGGGGAAAAAAAACAGACTTCCACAAGTCTGGTTTCTCACTGAGAGAACTTTCTAAATGTGCATCACTTTCTCACTGAGAGAACTTTCTAAATGTTTGACAATACCACACTCATCTGTACAGACAATAATATGTAAAGATAAATACCATGGGACCACACAGCTACTGCATCATTCAGGAAGGACATGTGTACTGACACCCAGAGTTGAACATAATTTGGTGTAAACGTCCAGAGCTAATTCAACAGTGGACTTTTTGAAGTGTGGCACATTAGCATCAGTGGTTTCGGTGCCTTCACCCGATACGCCTGCAGCAGTGAATACTTGTAAACCCAATAATGCGCTTGGCAATTTTTTTCCATCTTTCAAATTTGGCTGGGTGCCTAATAACACATTTTCCTGCAGTGTGACAAACTCAGAACACATTTCTATTTTACCCAAACTTTAAACATGCAAAGTTAATGATATGTAAACACTGAGAAAGCAACAAGTTGTTCATACAGACCTTACTATATTATAATATGAATGCAAGTTAATTGACACTGTTAATTTATTGTATGAACAGTGTTTTTTGTTTGGAGCCCAGCACACTTCACATTTTCCCTTATGAAAAAGTAGAATACTGTTTAGTACAAAAAAGTGTGGTATAGTGACATCAATGAAGTGCAGACTGGGTATCTGTTTTCCTTAATTGAACTCCCACAGAAACAGAATCAGCCAGATGAATAGGACACCTCCAGTGTTGACAGTGGACTCTACACGTCCTGTGTCAGTTTAAAATCGCAATGTTTAGAGACAAGCAACATTTATGGAAGTGTACTTGGTTTATGTACTTGTTACCTCAGCAGTTAAAAATGAGCTAGGTAAGAGTCATTTCTTCAGCTTTTAAATTTTAACTTGAAAATGTTACTCTATATCTAAATATTTGACTAATATACAATTCAGTACTGTAGAGCCTCTGTGACAACATTAAAGCGAGAGTAATACAAAGTCAGTAAACTTGTCATAATCATCTATAATGACACTACATCATTATGGCATCTTGCTTGATGTGGACCCAAGGTACCACATATCACATTTATCAAACTGTCACTAGAGCAGATTTGATGATTTCCAGGTTCTCTGCAGCCATGTTGGCCTGCCTAAACTCTACTCTTACATTCTGTAAGCCACATTCAAAACTTTTTAAGAAATCACAGCACCACATCAAACTTTAATAGAATAAAAACGTATTTAACATAAAGAGCCTGAGGAGCAGCACATTTTTTATTGAGCAGCCACAGTCCAATCCCTGGATGTCTGACAACAGCTTCAGAAACAATGCGGGGAACAGATACAAAAAGAAAATGTGAGGAACAGAGGAAACGATATTAAAGACACGAGACAGCCTTTCCTCCGAACCTTCATTTGAAGCTTCCAATCAACTGACTGCCAATAAAGGGATGCGGCAGTCCACAAAAGACTTCAGCATAGGATGTTCTCCTATATCCTCGCTCATGGCTCCTCCAGCAGTCTCCTCACTCCTCAGAGCAGATATAAGAGCCTTGGGACATCACTAATCCTCTTTTGACAGGAACAACTTCTGGGTCGATTGAGGATCGATCGTATGAGAAGTAGCCATAGTCCATGACCCTGGACAAAGACGATTATTCTAAGCAACTGTTGGCGGATGTCCTGCTGTTTCTGCTTCAGTGCTGCATCAAGGTTCTCGTTTCAGGCGTCCTGTGTTGCTGCTATGGTCTCATCACTCACTGTGAACGCAGCTCTTCCACATGATCTAGGGTTTGGGCCTGTTGGTGGAGCCACGAATAATACAAGATTAAAATCAAAATCACATTTCTATATGATAGTTTTAATAGGTTATATTTCATGCAGAGAGTAAAGTAACCACTTAATAGAAAATATCATAATTACTTTACTACTGTCTTCTACTATCTAGAAGCTCTCTATTGCTGCTGAACACAGGAATTCCCCCATTGTGGATCAATAAAGTCCTTCCTACCTACCTACTATATTTTACCACGCAGAACATAATATTCTAAAATATTTCCAATAAAGCTGCTGAATGGGTCTTTAGTACTGATCACTTATATTACAGGTGATCAACCAGTGTCTATAAAGCATATGGTCAAATCCGAGCCATAAACATTTAAGCATTGATTTTTTTCCTGATAGCTATACTTGTTACTCATTGATCAAATTACAAGAGTAATGTGCTGAAGTTATAACTGCCAAAAGTTATTAAGGGCAAACTGATGACTAATGTTAATTACTCAGTAAAGCAACAGCATTTATCCGTCTTTGTCTTTAAGTTATATTAATGAATTACTGAAAAAAATGTTGTAAAAATGTTGCATAAATGGTTAAGGTTAGCTGGTTACGGCTAGTTTACCTTTCCTCCGCAGGTCCTCCGGTCTCTCAGCTCTCATGTATGTTGAGTCTCCTGTGCAAAAACTGGTTGCAAAATGCATCACAAATGCAAGACGGCAGTCCTTGTCGTCATGATATTCGGACTTTTGCGTAGTTGCAGGAAATGGTATTGTCCATCTTTACATATAGTCTATGGTGCATGCCCTTTCTTGCGCTTCCTTCCTCTCTGTCTGCTCTTTACTACAGACTCCTTCTCCAGACTGGTGTGGCCATTAATCAGATCTACCCTGTGTTTCTGTAGCACCATCAGTTGGCCCATGGATTCAGAATCTGCCACAGTTGCCACTTCACCATCTTGGGCTCTGCTGCCCAGCGCATTGCATGGCTTGACAAGTTTTTTTTCAGCCACTTGGGCAAGTAGCTGCAATGTTTTCCTTGTCCGATAGCCAAATGCACTTGTCTAAAATGAAAAATGTAGGCCTATTAAAATATTTCAGGCCAACTTTGAAGGAATTTACTTTGTCATTTTGCTTTGTTACAAGTACCCATAAAAGCAAACATTTAGGGGCACAGTGACTTTTTAATTAAATAACATTAATGCATCTCTTTTATAAATGTTTAACATTAAAAACAGTGCGCATAATGCCCAGGGGCAAATTGACTTTTAAAACATAAGAATGTCCCTACAATACAATACAAGAACGGTGTCGTAAACAGAGGTTAAATTAACTATGATGTGGTCTAGAAGAATACATGACAGGAAAACCTGACCATACATTATGTTTACCTGTATATAATCTTTGGTTAGAAACAGTTCAGTAACAGCTTCTATGATGATTTTATTCATGTAGTAGAAAAACTTGATCAGAACCATCTTTTCATTTGACTGTCCACGACTACAAAACTCCAGTCTCACAACCATAGAACTGAATAAGTATCCACAAAGCCTCAGCATTTAGAAGTGAGGTATCTGCTATTTACTGCTGATCAGTTTGCATTTGATTTCTGGTTTTCTCTTTGCTGTCTCCATAACAAGTTAGAAGGCTACAGAGTGAGATTAGAACCCAAACTGGAGAGTAGAGCAGTGAATACAGCAGCAGTTCCCTTCATTTCATCTCTCCGTAATAAAACTGAAGCTCTGATCTCACCATTCTAGGTAGCCTGCTGTAATAAGTGTGTTAACATTCCTGAAGAAACCAGAGCAGAAAAAGCTACAACACATTTTCCTGACAAAAAAAAACAAGTTTCCTTCTGATGACTTGACTGGTGTTTGTGCTGGACTCACAGGGAGCTGTGGCCCTGATTCCACTTAGCCGCTGTGCTCCTCACATCGAAACAGTTAGCTGTTAGCTCTTAGCCCAAGGAGCTTGATAATTAACATATACCAGTGGTGAATGGGAGTCTGCGTGCAAAGCTGAAATGATCACCGCTTGGCAAATTTATGCTCGTTTAGCAGGTGTTTTGATAAATTGCTGACACAGAGGTTTTATTGCATAGAGCAGAGGTGTTGCTACCTTGAGCAATATGTTTCACCTGCACCCTGTCCCTCCACCATGTTTCAACTGTTCTCAGCTGTGTGTTGAGAAGCTCAGAGTGACAGTACCGCACAATGAACACCAAAACCACATTTTCCGACCCACTAATCTCAGTCACTGGTCTCTTTGGGTCCTGATAAAATGCTTCCTGTCCTTACAAACTGAAAACCAAGTTGTTTTCAACACAGAAAAATGGATGTAAACTCTCACATACTTTTCACTTGCCTGATCAGGCAACTGCATGACACATTCCACTTGCCCAGTCATAGAGTTTACTAGAGACGGGCAAGTGGGCAAGGTACAATAACCGCTTCAGAGAATGTCACAGTTTCTCTATATCATAGTATATGGTATTACACTATTACTATTATCAGTTACAATGATCCTCAAAGGAATGAAAACAGAAGGGTTTTTTATTTCTGGGTTGAACTGCAATATTGACACAAAATGATATCTGAATATTTTTGGGGATTTTGTCAATACCAATAAGCAGACAATAACTAGAGATGAATAGCATGCCTATGCTTTGTAAGGTGCTGGCTTAGTCAGAATAGTAAAACTATATTTAAAAAACTTTCTAAAACTAGATTAGTGCAACTCTTCACTATCTGAATTTTGTTATATTAAGTTCCTTGATTTGGCACATGTTGCACGTCTGTTAATGCCTCGTTTCTGTAACGTTACTGTAAGGCTGGAGAAGTTACTATGTCAGCATTATGCCAGTTGGGGTTTTTCAACTACCTGCTTTGTTTAAAGTGTTACACATCTCTTTTCATTGGTACATATAGTGTTGTTTACCCATCTAGGGAAGAGAAATTCAAATTAATTAATGTGGTCATGGTTCATTGTGCTGTCCACTTGTGTGTGGACAGTGCCGGTGTGGTATGGTGTGTGGCAACACCGGCAGCAGGAGTTGGGTGTGTTCACGAACGATCCTCTCATTTTTAGGAAGAGGCTTTTTGGTTTTATTATTCTGAAATAATTACAGACTATTTGCAGTTATGAGGCTAATCTAGAGGTAACCAAGATTAAACATTAAATGGCTGGAAACAAGCCATGCCATGGGGACTTTAAGTTGCTAGACATGATGCATGCTGTCTCTTTTAAACAGGCAACCACTGGATGAAATTATTTAAGCAGATGACAGCAGTCAATAATACACCATTAAATGTGCCAAAGAATAGGAGACTATTCATATGGAAGCTCAGTATATGAGTTAAATGAAGTTTACCCATTATATGGCCCCATTGACATTGGAAAATCAGGGCATGCCATCATAAATCTTCAGAGCCCCACAATAAGCAACACCATTTTCCAGAGCTAACCTGCCCTTAACACAAAGTATCCCTGAAAACTGTTCTCACCCAAGCGAAGAGCAGATACGTGATTTGATACCCATCATCTGCGTTGTATTTGCTCAGGGTTGAGCAGTGTCTGGCCCAACTGGTCTGAGAGCTGGGTCTGCTCAGTTGTCCAACCACTGACACCAACACTTTTCTACAAACATTGTCTAACAAAAGAAGACTAAAAAACGTTTTTGTTTTTTCAGCTTGAACTTAAGTTTTACCCTAGCCAGCGAGTCTTCATTTTTTGGTAAATCTAACCTTAACTCAGTTAAAATCAGTAAAGATATAATGATTGCATTTAACGTACCAGTGGCGTGTGGGTATTCCATCTGGAGTTCCTCTTGATAGCTCCAACAACCGTGCTAATTTCACCCTGAATGATATAGATATTCTTGTCCACCATGCTGTTTTTCTGAGACAAGAACAAAAGAGATGGTCAATTTTGACAGAAATTCAAGGTAGAACAATAAAACAATGCCCTCTGGACCAAGGATCAATTTTCCTTGGAAAAGACAAGACTAAAACATGATATCTGTATTTTTTAGGCCTACATGTGCAAGAATAACGAAAGACCACTTACAAGAGTGTCAACATTACACACAAAAATAAATGCTACCCCTTCCAGCTACATGTATACCGTCAGTGGAAGACGCTTCGACTAAGCGAGGACTTTGTACTGCAGTTAGAGTCACAGTTTACAAGTCTGTTGTGACTCAAGATGGCTCATACATTAAAGCCAGTTATCATCTACATTACATTCTATGCAGTGTTGCCAATTATTTTTTGGTGGAAAGTAACTAAACCCTCCTGGAAAAGCTGCTAAATGACATCACATGCCAATTTTCATACTGCTGATGTCATTGTGTCATATTTGCATAGCAATACAGCCATGCCATGGGTGTGCTGCCAAGCAGAATGAAACCCCTACAAACCAACTATCTGCATATTTACAATAGAACTATGTGCATACTGTTTTTGTTCACTGTTTTGTAGATTAAAGCATTCTTAAAATTAGCAAACTAAACAAAAGTAACGGTGACTATAATATTACAGTGTAATATAACGATCAAAGTTGCCAATCTGTAAATGTAATATTTAACTATGCCAATATGAAAGGGTAAGCAGTATGGAAGAATGAAACACATAAAAGGAATCTCACATGAAATGATAGAGATTAACTAACATTTTACAAGATGAATTTCGTGACAGTACTTCTTTCACCTGTTGCCTTACTATGAGAAAAAAGTCGTCTCGAAAAATGTCAAAATGGAAAGAGTATATAAGAACCAAACGGCAATTTTCCACATCTACTGAGACAATGCCTAACCCAATACGGATAATCAAACAGAATCAAAATGATATACTGGCCATGTTTGACAAGCAGTATGCCTCAAAATGGCTGGATTAACCTTGCTCTTTGTGTCATGAAAGACATGTCAAATAATACTCTTATTTTACATGAAGATTTAGGAGTGTAGAGACTGGGTGGCAGATGTCGCACTCTTTTAAATTCATTTTAAGCTGTTGATTTAAAACAATAAGAAGATGAAAGAATGATAAGTGGAGGCTAGGCTGTGGGGACAAAGTGAAAGGCTTATAGTTGATAAGAGTTACATAAAAGAGACTTCACTGTGGATGTGACAATTATACTTTTAAACCACAAATTCCCAACTGAATCACTGCTGAGTCCTGATATTATATCTTCCAACACAATATAGCTGCACAGTACTCTTCACACAGACAGAGGAAAAGGTCGATGTGCTAGGAAAGAGGCTGAGCCTAAGGCCCAGGAGCAGTAGTCAGGAAGATTCATCTGATGTTTTTTTCTTAAGCCACAACTGTGTCAGCATGCTGCAGAATTATTTGTTCAGCAAGAATTCAGAAGAACAAACCACTTTACTTTTCACAAACCTACAGCTTTGCACTTACCCTTAATCTCCCTTGAACAACCATGTCAAGTTAATTCATTTAGCCAAAAATCACCAATCGTTACACTGTCAGCTTCTTAATGAATGTCTTCACATACTAATCAAATTTCCTCAGCCCAAATTCAGAAATTATTCTCAACTCTTTCCACTCATTCAAACTGTAGCAAAAAATAACATAATTCTGTGTGTTTATACGTTTCCTCTCTAGATCAGTATGCTACATCTTTGTATGATGAGCTTTCCTAGTTATGCTGACAGGCTAGTAATGATGCACATGAATCACTGCATGGTGTGTAAGACTTTGTCCCTTTTGCTTGGACATCAGTGACAGCTGACAGTTCACGTTACAATAATATTACACATAATACCACAACATCTCTACGTGTAACTACTCGGAAATGCTCATGCAGCTAACTAAAGCCTAGCTTCCAGCTATTTCAAACCTGAATCTAACACAGTCATAATGAAGCACTAATGTTTTAAATGCAACATCGTACACCAAAAGCAAGTGACAGAAGACGGCTGCTTGCCTATCAAGTAGGATAGGAAGCTGTTACTTGGCTACTGAGATGAAGTCAACTCATCGACAAAGCTAACAGGCTAGCTCTCACCAAACTAAAGGGATGAATGGCTGTTGACAGTCCTCTGGGACAATCAAAAAGGTTATACGAGGGCACATGGATACTACTTGGTTCACGTCTATCACCTTACTGAAGTGTTTACACATTCGCTGCATAAATGAGACCATTTACCTGCACACAAACCTGACAGCCAAGTACCTAGCTTAGCGTTAGCTCACCTAACCAGCGGTGCAACCGGCTAAGAATAACTCTTTGTGTTTAGCGTGTCCTTTCAGACAACAGTAAATTATTTACTTGATTTAATAAAGCAAACGCATCTTTGCACATACATATACATGTTTTTCTGTTTTTCTAAATGTAAAAATATTACCTGTGTTTGACTTCTGTTTCAAAGATGGAGTCCTCAGCTAACGCTAGCCTAGCACGGCAAGCTAGCAAGATAGCCGGTCAACAGTGAATGAAGAAGACCAAAGTTCCGTTCACTACTATAAATAAACGAACTACAAATTCTCAACATTCCACTGTTTGATATCGTATTTTTTCCAAATCGGTCACTCGTCAAGAATGCCCCATAAGTGAATATACAGAACACCTTCCTGCATTTGTCAATCTGATCCTGGTAAACACACTGACGTGGAAAAGCTCTAGAGTCTCAACCTAATACGACGGCAGAGTTTTGATTGACAGCCTACTAAAGTGGTTACTTGTGGAGCTTTAAAATACACATTAGTATCACAAAAATGTATATTTAGGCTACATTCGGCCTTTGTCTATTTCTGTAAGCATATAGAATGCAAGCGATTAAAAAGAAACCAAATATCCCTTGAGTTACACAGAAATAAGGGCGGGTCAAAGGTAGCAGTAGTGGAATAAAGGTTGGTTGCACCGGGTTGATGACGAGGGCACTGTTTGCATCTCCGTTTAAAAGAGCAGTCTCACACTGGCAACTAAAATATTTATAGGCAAATTTTTATTTGCCCATTTCTGCTCACAGGACCCCAGTTTAATATCAGTGGGTGTCACAGAAATATCAAATACTATATAATTCCAGTTTCTCCGTTATGAGGATTTGCTGCTTTTTATCTTAAGTAATACTGGCGTAAAACGAATATTATTGGGTTCTGGGCTGTTGGTCGAATAAAACAAGTAATTTAATGTTATCACCGGGAAGGGTGTTAGAAAAGGGTGATGAATATTTTCACTATATTTCTACACCCTGTAGGGCAAATGGTTAATCAATTAGTTAAGAAAATAATGGACTGATTAATACATGATAAATGCATAAAATATTCATTAATTGCAACCCTATTCGGATTAGAGTTAACCATCCTAAACCATTAATATAACCTTGTACACACTGGATATATACTGTACACTGGCTGTCCGGTGATGACCGACAGACTTGATAATACCTTTAATATATTCTGCTGATATAGTTGAAATATTATTTTGAACCCCAGTGTAACAGTTGACACTGTACTTGATGATAATCAAGTATCATCTGGGTCCTACTGCGATGGATTGGCGACCTGTCCAGGGTGTACCCCGCCTTCGCCCGATTGCTGGCCGGGATTGGCTCCGCCCCCCCGTGACCCCGTTCGGGGACAAGCGGTAGAAAATGAATGAATGAATCTGGGTCCTATGTTCTAACTTCTCAATTTCATCACTTCCTTTGTCACTGTTGACTATAAGCCAGATCCTACTGACTGAATGTAAAACTGCCTTATCCATCGATCACGTTGTATTTGCATACTACCTTTTGGTGCTGCTCTGCTGTTGTTCTGGGCTGACTTACTTTCTCAAGGCAACTTTCTGTGTCAGTAAACTCATCATATACCATATACATTTAAATACACCACAGCAAAGGTCTCAAGAGGACTTGAATCAATATTCTCCAACACTGGTTCACTTGAGAAATCAAACAGAATCAAACAGCGCAGGTAAAACATGTATAGAAAACAGAAGTGCATACAGTACTGTATGTGGAAACCATGAAGACCATGATTTTATACTCATAACCATCCAGTTCCAATAGATGACTTCTTCCATCTCTTAACTGGCCCTTTTGCCATACAATAAGTGGTATTGTGACATTCTGTGGATGAAACAGAGGATTTATATTTCGTTTTATAGCATTCATGACTGAGACGATGCAGTTTATAAAACCTTTGTGAGAAACTGGTGATGAACAAAATTATCTTGACCAGCTGCTTGCAACATTTGTGTGGCTCTGGATTCATTGGCAGTAATTACTCAGCCTCCATTACTCTCATCTCTGCCTAAAAATCTTAACTAAAATTAACTAAAGGTGCAAATACTAGCTTTTTACTCCAGCTGTTGGGTACACAACTGAGATGTAATTGAAAGCTCTGGACAAAGCAAGTAAATGAACCCTGAGTTAAGATAAATCTATCAAGGTACTCTTCCCAAGGCACTTCAATACGAATGAATAATAAGGCCATAATGAATATTAAACATCAACAAGATTTATGGGGCCTAAATTAGTCAAGCTTTCCAAGCCACTGGTGATCCAAGATAACCAGCATCAGAAAACTTTTCCTCAGCTGTGAGCTCTGGGTTTGTCAATCCAGTTATGATTTACAGTGTACAAGTGACATCATCAGAACTATGAATGAAATTAATATGATATGAAATAAAACTGTGGAAAATTAAATGATTTAAAAAAAGGAAACAAACTGAATTTCACTCTGTATCACTAGCCCCTTTTACACTGCCCATTTGATGCAGGAATTTTCCATGAGTTTACTGCCTCACCATTCTGTTTCAAAGGTACAGTCCTGGAACTGAGAGTCCAGGTTGACTCTCCAAAGAGAGGTAGCTTTCTTTTTTTTTGCCACGATGAGTTCACCCCACCTCCTATATAAACGGGACAAAGAGGAATGGGGGCTTGGAGGTCTGCGTGTTTTAGAGAGAGCTACAGATTGAATGAGGAGAAAGAGAGCAGCCTCAGCAAAAAGCCACCTTGAAGCAGAGTCAGTTTTCTGCAACCTCTGTGGTTCCTGCTGGTATTGGAACAAAGCAAGACCTTAGGGAACAAAAGTATACAAGTATACAAGTAGGTATTTCAGAGGAAAGGAGAAACAAATTGTGTTTTTGTAAATTCTGGGTACATACAGAGTGCAGTGCTGGAAATAAAGCTGATATTTAGAGGGAAATGGTTTTAGAACACTTTTTCTTGCTGTGTAATCAAAGAGTAAAAAGGTGAAAACAGACAAACCTGAGATTTACAGCCTACATACCTGGTCCTTATTGTGTAGTCAATAGAAGTAAAACTGCCTAATTACAAGACTCCTAAATAAACATTAAAGGATGAGACCAGTCAGTTTCTATATTAACAGTAGCCTATTTTAAACAGAGAATAAAACCAGCGATGATTTGCCTCTATTTGCATTTAATGTCTGTCAGCTTCCAACCTGGATTATCTTATTTGTCTGTGCGATAGATCTCCGTTGTTGTTCAAAAACACATTATAAAACATCACTGAAACACACTGCACCACTGGGTGACATGCTTCCTCATTACAAAAAACAAGACCCAACATCAGTGTGTGAATGGGTGAATCTGTAAAGTGCTTTGTTCAGGTATGGTAGAAAAGAGGCAGGATGTTTAACTGATATATTTTTAAGGCTCTTTGAACAACACTGGAGGTCTATGGCACAGACAAATAAACTAATCTAGGTCAGAGCTTGACAGACTGACAGGCATTAACCGTGAGAAGAGGCAGTTCATTGCAGGGCTCCAGACTCTGACTGATCAGTCACATTTTGCCACCAAATTTTTTTAAGGTGCGACTGACTTTTTTTCAAAGGTGGGTGCGATGAACAGGTTATACACAAATGACTGCTGTTACTGTAGAAATGATGGACAGATTGAACAGTCTCCTCGATACTGTCATGGCAACGTTTATCTGTCACTTGCCTGTCTCACAAAGCAGACACTGTCAATCTATCAAATGTGTTGATACACACTGAATTTGCAACACAAGTATTATCCTTGAACCCCTTTTTTAGGTTTTGAGTCTATTTTTTCCTGTATATGTGAAATGTAATCACCACAGACAGCTGCTTAAATCAAGTGGATTACCTGTTAGCCTATTTATGTGTTGGAAAATTTTTTTGAATCTCTTCTGATGGATCAGGCTCCTGGTGTCAATGAGCTTTCAGGTTTTATTTCCCTCTGTACTTTGTAGCAAGACAGGGAAATTAATACAATTAATAAATCCATCCATCCATTTTCCTCTGCATATCCAGAACCGGGTCGCAGGGGCAGCAGTCTAAGCAAAGATGCCCAGACTTCCCTCTCTCCAGACACTTCCTCCAGCTCCTCCGGGGGAATTGCCTTGTCTTGCAGCTGGCTCCTGACATGCTTATGTCGACCATGGTCATGACCTAGTGGCTGTCACCATGACCTGCCTCTAGCTTTCAGAGATGTTGTGTAGTAGGACTGGGGGCCACCTGTGGGCCAGAGGGGGTATCAAGTGAGGCTGGGTTGGTGGTTTGAGTGACCTGGGCATGAATACCTCAAGACAGTCTGAGGAGCGGTAGCTGCTGGGTCTGGTGCGGACTTTGGCTGGTATAGTGGTGATGTCTTGCAGCTGGCTCCTGTCAAGGCACTCAGGAGTGAGCGCCCACTAAGAACCAAAGGCAAGTTCTAGAATTGGGCCCGGATTAAACTCACGTGCTCCGGGGACCTAAAAGCACACCATAACATGGATGCCAAGGTAGGCCCTTGTGGTCCATGGGTGGACCCTGGTCCTACTACATCACATCTCTAATGGTTAGAGGTAGGTCATGGCGACAGCCACTGAAGCATGACCATAGTTGACATAAACGTGTGGCTTAATGCAACCCTGTGGTGTTTTGAAGTATTCCTCCTTGTACACTCTCCATCTGTGCTCACTAAACCATGACTGTGGTTGACATAAATGTGTGGCCTCCACAGCCATAGTAGGCCTGGTACTTTGGGCTGATCCCACTCACAGTAGCGTACGACCAGGATGACAAGAATGTTAACTGATGTTGGCCGGTACTGCCACAGTTGATGGGGGCTTCGAATGGGGCTCCGGCACACATGAGGCTATAAACACCCTGAAACAGAGTCAGCTGGGTGGCCATGTTCTATGGCAAGTATGGCCACCCCATGGTAGCTAGCAGAAATTACAAAAAGATTGTGGAAAAATATTTCTCCTTTCTATTAAAATGTCTAGGTGTTACTCTATTGTCCATTGTCAGTGTTTGGGCTGTTGGCAGGGTTTCTTTCACAGGCTTTCATTACATTTTTGAGGTGATGTCCACTGATCACAACATTCCAGTGTTCTTTTCAAAGAAGGATTAAGACAGTTGTTGGCACCAAAATAGTAACCGAGCACAAAAATGTGTTGCTCCCAGTCTTATATCATTTATGGTGACTGGAATAATGGGTATGGAATATAATTTTGTCTCTGCATCTCTGTGTAATGCTGAGGCAGCAGTATATGCTAAAGAATTTGCATGTATATTGCTTTGCAGGGTACGTTCTGTTTTGTTGTTGCAAAAGTAAAAAGAAATCAAATGGATGCAAAAATAACTTCCACATAAAGACATTTTAGAGAATATACAGTGCTAATCCTATGAAGGCCCCACAAGACCCCCCCTTTGTTCGATCAGAAGCAGCCATTTACTTAACACCTGCAGTCAAAGTACCGCTCTGTGTCTAAAGCCTGCAGAATCTACTCGTGTCAGACCTCTGTTTGCTTTCTGCAAAGTATTTGATCACCTGTGAGATTTGTAATTGCAACATTTTGTCTGCAAATATACACATGTAATTTTCTGCGGCAGCAGATATGTCCACGTCCCTGAGACAAGAACACTTTTCTTTATACGTTTGTCATTTGCATGCATATATGGAAAACATGTGGTCACATATTCATTATAATCTTTGAAGAAATCATCTTTAATAAACATGACTTTGTGTTGCATATCTTCATTTGATTCACCAAATTGTTCTTGTATTCCTGTTTAGCTGCATATGAAACAGCTGGATTTCTCTCGATTACATTTCAGTCATCCAAACAGAAAATATTTATGTAAGCATGTCTCTTGGACATGAGTCTGTTCATCATTAATTATAAACATGAGAAAAGAGCAGTGTGATTCATTCAGTTTTGACCACCTTGTTAATCCTTCAAACAAGTTAGACATTCATACCACTTTGTGGAGGTGAGGATTTTCTTTACTACTGAGTGATGCCTATGCCATATTGTATTTCTGCTTTGCTTTCTAATGTAAGTCTATAATCTGTCTTGTTGTCTGGTAAGAAGGAAACAAATCAGCACTTTGGCTTGAAGAGACATAAACAAAACCCAGGCAATGTCATATACTTTGTGTTGTCAAACAGCTGTGTCATATTTGGCAAGTATGTTTTTGTTTGAAAGAAGTGGAAGTGGTAAATTGAGGCTTGTTTAACACAAGTTAGCATTTATGGAGGTATTTCTGAGCAGTACTTGAGGCCTGAAGGCATATTCATGACTTTGAAAACATGTGCATGCCGTAGATACAGTAATACTAGTCTAACCTGTCACCTGTCAGTTGCTGTGGAGCTGGAGAGTAGGAGGGACCGCTGGTTCCAGAAGCGTTCTGTATAGTGTCTCAGTCTTTTCTTTAAATCAAAACTCTCTTGTATAATGTGGCAATTGTATAGGTTTACTGTATGTGGTGGCTACCAGTTAGTATTTATGAAACTTTGTTTCTGAAAAATCATGTCTTGATTTCTGTCTTGAGTGTGAATCTGAGCAGTAGCAAATTCCATATACTTCATTATTGCTGCTGGGAACATAAATCAGCATCATACAAAAGTTGTCAAACTCATCCAAACTGACAACCAATCAAAAGTGAATTAAGCTGTCGATGTGTTTCTAGTGTTCTGAACACTGTTAGCAGCACATATAACCGAATTTAAACCTCTGTGATTAGATGTTTCTAGCCAGCATACACTTTGCAAGGCTTAACTGACTTCTCCCATTCAGTGTTTTTAACAGTCTGTAGTACCTCCAACCTTGTTAAAATAAAGGAATAAGATACATTCTAAGCCAGTTGCTCATTTTTTGCTCCTACTGACTCATTCTGATCCAAACTGTAGACATAGTCAGATGTAATCAGCCATTTAATGCTGTGCATGGGAATACTGACCCTGAAGCTCCCAGAATGTTTTTCCTCTCACTCTGCACCGCTTTTGGCCTGAATGCTACTGAGGCTGTAAACAAGAGTTTAGCAACCAAGTTTGAAGCCCCCCCATGTACACCTCTGTAATATTTATTGTTAGCTCAAATTTTCAGATTCGATTTATTCAAATAACTGTCCTGTTATGGCTTTGCCATTAGCCTAGATTAGCATAATGAACAAAAAACTGGAGAAACAGCTAGTCTGGTTCTGCCCAGAATTTTTTTAATTCACTTAACAACAGGGTTACCAGTTAACTTGTTGTATGAAATGTTTCTGGCATTCATCCATAAAAACACAGAAATGTGAAAATGCAGCTCATTTTCATACTTACCCTGCTCTGGCGACCAATCTTGAAAGCCACAGTGTTCCAGCATCACCACCAACCCAACAGTCACTGAAGTTGACAAATGTGTCAATGTGTGCACCAACATCATATCCCAAAGTACACAGCTGTGTTAAGACTGAGTTAATACTATCCTCTTTTACCCAATATTAATTAGGTAATAGTACCAAGATAAGCTATCCAAGGCCCAAAATTAATATATTTTGGTTAGATAAGCTTATCCTGAATTTGATGGCTACAGTCATTGGTTGAAGCAAATGCAAATCATGCAGGCTGAAAGGGTTCAGGGAGAAAGATCCTATGGGCCCCCCAAAGCCCCTACACGTCAGTGGTTTCTAAGGTGGATCCTCCATCATCTTGTTGGCCTGTTTTATAGAAGGGCTTTGTGCCAAAATCAAGACATCCTTTACATTAAATGACAAAATACTGTATGTTTTTAACATCCCTTAAGAATGACACATATACATTAAGAGTTTCTATGATCTGACTACCCTACAAAACTCATTCCTTCCATCCATGAAAGACATGAAGAGACATAACAGACAAGACAAACCCACAGTGTCCTGAGCCTTCATCATCTCAAAACAAATTTCATCCACACCCAGCACCTTACCACCAAGGAGCTTCTCACCTACTTCAGGGACCTATGTGGGTTTTCCTGAGGCCTCAGACTGTGCCTCCTACTCAGAGGACATATTAGTTGAGTTTAGAAGTTCCTCAAAGTGTAATCCAGATACTTCCAGTGCCCTGCAGCATCCCCAATTGGAGTCAGCAGTTCCCATCCTCTGCTGAACACAGCATGGACCAAGCCCTCCTTTCCTTTCCTGAGTCATCTGATGGGTTGCCAGAACCTCCTTGAGGCCTACCAGAAGTCCTTCTCAATAGCCTCTTCAAACTCTTTCCACATCCATGTTTTTCCATGGACAACTGCAGCCTCTGTGGTCCACATGATATTAAAAAACAGGATATTAATAATTATTAAGCAATAAAATGTGGCCCTCTATCTTACAGTGAGTTTCACTGAAATTTCAAGTGTTTCATGTCTTACGCTCTCAGCATGGCCTGTGTGGCGACCTGCATGTACAACGCAACTAATATGTGCACATGGGAGCCATGTTTTTGTCCACGCTACGCAGTGACAGCCAAGCAAGAGCCAGTCTGGATTATCTTGATCCCAGATGGTGATGGCAGAGATTCTGAGCCAGGCTCAACGCTGCTACAGCTTCCATCCTTGGACTGGTATTATGCCACTTTATTCAGTTTTGACATCTTTTCAGGTGATAAAGTAACCATTTAAGGTCTTTACACACGGACCAAGCTCACTCTGTTAGCAGACAGCTACAGCTTGTTCTGACCACAATAGTTCTGGGGCTTTGTTGTTTCCATATTTTGCTCCAATGGAACAGTTGGTTTTTGATATATCCCCCATCACCAGACACACCAACACTGTTTGTGATTTTGTTTTAACATGGCTTTTTTTTTTTGTGAATGTATGTGCAGGACAGCAGTAGCAGCTTCTGTGCTCTGTTTGTGTCTACACAGGATGTGTTCAGGCTCAGTAGGTGACCTGCTTTATGACCTTGCAAAAACAGGAACTGGCCTATTTTCTTTAACTGAGGTCTTATCTGGTATAAGTGATTATACTTCACCTGACACTTCCAGTTCAATGAATCAATTACACTTTGATGAGTTCTAAGGTTTTGGTACTTAACCTCTAGCTGAATCTTCAGCTCCATCACTTTCCATCACATCGCTTTCAGTTCAAGTGATATTTCAACTGTGTTCAGTGCTTACACTTTAAACTGACACTACAGCTGCACTCGGTTCTTACACTCACACTGAAACTTCCTTGGAAAGTTCCATTTCAATTGGAATACATTTATTCTGCTACGTAGCATCGCCCTCAGTCTCACCCACACCACATGGACATTTTGTTCTGACATGTAGTGATTTCTAGATCACTTTGCTCACCTTTAAACGTGGTAATGAATCTGTAATTAAATGCTACAGCTGAGTGGAAAGACCTCGGTTCTTCCTGCCCTCACTGTTCTAGTGTTGTTTAAAAGGGATTTTGGCTTAAATTTAGTTTGAACTTCAAAGTATATAAATAAATAAATAAAAACAAAAACCATGACAGAAATAACATAAAAAATTTAAGCTAACATATAGTAAACCCCCACACCTGTGCCTGCAACAGTGCAGGTAAATACAAGGCTGCAGGGAGACAGACAGGGTATTTGTGGACAAGGAGCCTGCTGGTGGGTGGGTGGGGGATAGTACACACTTATGTCGATGCGTGAGTCTGTCTCGTGCGCGCGCATAGAGAGAGAGAGAGAGCAGGGGGCCGTACCCTTTCTACAGTGGACCTGTCACACACATTATTTAGCATGAAGTCAACCCCCTTCCTTATCCCCCTCCCTCCCTCGCTATACTCTGTACGGGGATCAAGCCCTGCTCCTCCACAGCCTTCATGTCTGACGACACAGAGGGGAGAAGAAGAAGAGGAGAACTGACCACTGACGCTTTTAATGACTTTTCGACGCACTGGGGAACTTTTTGTCCATGTCACCAGCAAACCTAAGACCAGGACACCCATCATCCTGCAGCAAGCTGTGTGACTTATCCGCGGATTAATTGAACCAGATTGGGATTCGATGTAAGTGCATGTAACCGTACTTTATTTCTCTGCTCTCTCACTGTGTCTTATCTCCGTTTGTCTTCATGTTTGGAATCCATTCTGTGCCTTGTCATTTGTCTCGGCGAGGTGTAAAAGAGGAGCTTCATGAACTGTGGCCAAAGGCACAGCGGCTTTCTACTATATCAGCAGAGCAAGACGTCAGCGCATTAAGCAAAAGTTTGGGGCACTGGGGAAATCAGGAGACTGAAAAATGAAATGAAGAACAACAGGCCTTTACTTTTCGTTGAGATTATGATGCTGATGAGAGGAGACACATCTATGTGGCAGGTTTTTATGTAGCCCGTTGCACCTTCCAGATAAAATAGTCACCGCTAAATCATCATAAACATGTCTTAAACCTATTTTAAAAGTGAGTAAAGGCGCCATTTGGGCCTTTCTAAATTTTAGGGCTTTATTAGTGCTGTGGTTTGGTGGCCAACAGTTCAAAATTCGTATTACTTCGTTGGAGGCATTAGTTCTCCGTTTGTCCGTGCGTGAGGCCTGTTGGTAGGAACGAGACAGCAGTGCGTGATGCTTCCCCGCGCAGAAAGGGCCCCGTTCCCTCCTGTTGCATTACACGGAATTATGCTTTCTCCAAAACTCCAAGGCTTCGCAGATACGGCCGCTGTGAAAATGTTATGGAGGTCAGAAATGTTTGGGGAAGTGGAGAAAATTGATAGGTGGCAGGTGGCCGGTGGCCGCCGGGGCCACGGGAGAGCGCGGAGAGAAAAACACAGCCGTGCGCCCACCACGCACACACACAGCCAACATTCCTTTCTTTTTTTAAGACGGACCTGTAGGTCAATGCCAATTAAAAATAGATGTTCTTATTGTCCACTGCCCACCAGCGACAGCCTGCAGTATTCAGGCTGGAGCTCATTGTGCTTTACTAGTTCCTAATAAATACACGAATAAAAATACTGTCATTATTAAAAGGTCAGTGTTAAATGAACAGTGGACCTCACAAAGGACCCTACGACTGCTAATACAGATGCGCTATGTTTATGCTCGTTAGTCTTTTTTCTGTTTTGCATTATAAAAAGCTCTAGACCTAATCCGTGTTTTAGCTTTCAGGCTATTCGCTTCCCTTAAATGGACAGTTCGGGTTCTGCTCAGTCACTGTTCGTTTACTTTGGTAAAAATCGAAGGCACGGTGGGTTTCGTTTCCACATTCACCCGGTAGATCTCCTGCAGCAGGCCTTCAGTTAGTGGCCTCTTTTGCATTTGTTTCCCAGGTCAGGACATATGAAAATAAGATTTGTTTAATCGAAGTTCACGTTTGGCCTGAGGGTACAATGTAAATGCTTTTAGTGGTCATCATCCAACCGTGTTCAACAGAAACAAGTGTCAAGGCCTGCTGCGCTGAGGCCCATACTGTGGTAGGATCCACCAGTATTATCCCTCATCATTACTACGTTTACACTACACTGGCTGCTGTACATCATGTTAGTTAGTTAGTTAGTTAGTTAGTTCGTTAGTTAGTTAGTTAGTTCGTTAGTTCATTCGGGACCTCAACACGCATAACTCAAATAAAACACAACAAAGATATTAAAAATGATCAATCAGACCGAGCTTTGCGGTCACAAATATGCTCTTATATATATTCGATGTGGTAATTGTGGTATTTAATTTCTTTACATATATAAAACTAGGCTATTAACTGCAATGATAATAAAAATGGATTTATATTTTCATATTACCGCCTCCCCCTAAAATCGTAATAAAAGGCTCATAACAACTTCATTATGTTAAAAATCTGCTGGATCTAATTTCTCAGATTTAAATCATTTCTGATCGATAAGAGAAGCAGTTTTGCACCACACACTGCGTCGAATCAGCGAAATATATATTTGAGCAAGCGTAATAAATTGTTGATGCAGACAGGCTGTGTGTTAATCACTGCTGTGGACTCGTATTGGCTGCTGGCCAATCATTTGGCCGCTGTCTTCGGAGCCAGAGACTCTGGTGCAGGACTGCCTCGGCCTCACTCACTCATATGCAAATGGCTGTTATAGAAGGGCAGAAATTAACATCTACAAACATTGGACTGAAATTCCATCTGCCGCCTCTTCGAGGAGGCCCTTAATAAGTTCTCAGACAGCAAAGTGACACACATCTTAATCAACTCTTAATCCCGGGAATTAATTCTCGACGCGTTTATGAATAATTCCTGGGCTAATGCTTGCAGTCCGTGGAAATGCAAGCAGTCTGCCACGCGCATTGCCAGATGGACCCGGCAATCTCCCGAAAAATGAGAGGATTTTTGCTTCCATTATTATTATTATTATTATTTTATTATTACCACCAAATACATATTTAATGAGATCGGTGTCACCAGGTGACTTCTTATGCAAAGCGCCGCAGCTTATGCAAAGCACAGACGCTCATCTTGCTGTTGTTCTGCGTCCATTTCTGAACAGGAGGCCTCAAGCACTAAGAATAACCCCAGTTCCATCCCGGGGATGTTTCATACTGTATATGAGTGTAAAAGCAGGAGCAGCACGTCAGGTGGATGGGGAGATCCAGGTGGTGCTTCACAAGTGCCCCGAGAAACACAAACTGTGGCTTATAATGAGTTCAGGTTAATCTGGGAGTTCAATGAAGTTCACTCAGCAGTTCGCTCACACTGCCATGTACCACTACACAGGGAAACCAGCATCAACAAACCTCCCATTTAAGGATTAGAGCGGCTCAGTGGTCCATCTGACTGTCGGCTGCTCAGCGCCTCAGCCTGCTTGTTAGCTTACTGATAGCTTGTTGGCCATATTGAGCCCGCGCGTGTGCGTGGGTTGTATGTTGATTTGGAAATATAATCATGTGGAGCCCTTGATGTGTGTGGAGCTGTTGGGCCGGGGGTGGGGGGGCTGACACCTTGTAGGCTACTGGGCGAAATGACTGGCTTGCATCACCGGCGCGCTCCCCTTGCTGCCGTGCCAGGCGGCCTCTCAGCACCACATTCACACGGGTCCATCTGCCCATCCATCACTGCCACAGTGGATATACCCTCTGGACTAGCTCACGTTCCTATTTCTGACCAAAATACTGGAGCTGGCTGTTAGAGCAGGGCCGTGCACTCATAAAGGGACAGTACTCTGACTGAACGCTTCCAACAGCCACCGCGACCATTTGCGAAGTTGTTTTTTAAAACGCCTCAACACTCATCTGCGGCAAAGGTAACGCTGCTTGGAACAGAAATGGAATTTCTGCTTTTAGTTTTAAGGAGTATAACAGCCGATAAGCTGCGTGTGTGTTGAGTGTTGGTGCTGAGGTGTGTTACTTTGAACAAAAGGAAACGTCCTAAAACTGGTTCGCCTTTCATTAAACAAGTCAAAGGGATCCTGCAGCAAAGCTCAGCCTGATGGCTGCTGTATATGTGTCAGCCTTCATTTGCTGGTGGTGCCGCTGCTCTGTCAGATGAGGCTCAGGGTTGGTTGAAGAACTTCAACAGAATGAGACAAACATAGGATCAACATCGACTTGAACATTTTAATTAGGAACCAAAAGGGAAGAAGAAACACTGTTTGTCCGCTGGTGATCAAGGGGAAAACTGGTCTTTATATGACTCAGAAGTCAACTTTAAGTCACATCCATATTAGAGGCTTATTCATCTAAACAACACAGAGGCCCGGTGCTTACCGAGCTAATCTCTCTGGGAAACTTGACCTTCTCCTCAGCCTCGCATCTTTGTCCCCCTCAGGGATGAGATAGCCCCCGACTGGCAGCAAAATATCCTAATTCACATGTTCTACTCTTCTGTAAAATGCTCGGCTCATTCTCTAGACAAAGAACAGATGCATATCTTTCTTTAAAGTCCACAGAAAATGTTTCTTGCGTTAGCAGGGACACGTGTTAACCGTGCGTAAGGCAGCATTTCTTCCAGCGTGGACGGCACAAAAGATCGACTCAGCTGCCAGATGTCCGATATTCTGTGGTAATAAGGGCCTACATCTTTAATCACAATATGCAGATTGGCTTTAGTGCAGCATTGTGTTGCTTTGACCAAGTGACCAAATAGTTGAAGCCCCGTGTCTACAGTCATCACATTGTTCATTTTGGGTTTCAGTGCTCCAAATTCAAATGGCTGTGGTCAGTGGACAGATGGAGCTGTGTGGGGTCTGGTTGGGGACAAAATCACAAAGCAACTTCTATTTGGCGAGTTTTAAAAATGTGAATTTCTAAACAGAGTTTAAATGCATGTTAAGTTGCTTTTAGCTTTTCTGGGTCTAAAGGCTTGATTTTCACATCAGTTCGATGATCAGAAATGTGTTTAACAATATCAGCCGAGTTTCATCGTTTGTCTTGAAGCTGATGCTGCAGAAATGGAAGCCTGTCATTTGTCTACAGGAAAGTACAGACCCACACTTAAGAGAAGTTAATTGGCTTGTGATGCTTTGAATGTGTTACAGGCTTTAGCTTTGGACTGGACGTCTTCAGCTGTACTTGCTTTCAAGATGTTTGGCCATCAGAATAAGAAAGCACTGCTTAGTGAGGAGTAAAGGTAAAGATTTCATAGCAACGCAAAACAAACCTCGAAATGAGGGAAATTTATTTCATCTAAACCAATTTTTATTAGAACTTTTCTACATTTCAGCAGAACCATAGCAAGACATAGAGGTCATAGATAGATAGATAAATACTTTATTGATCCTGAAATTCAGCTAACCAGTGATTACCAAAATCACAGCACCCAAAGTAAAGAAATTTATAAAAGTGTGAGACTAAAATACAAAAGTAAAATGTATAAAGAGAAAAAAGTATAAGAAATAAGTTGAATAAAAACAATTATACACATATAAAACTAAATCTAGGACTGAACACTGTGTACAAGGATAAGAAATGCCAATATGTACAGTGCAGTAGTATAGTGTCATAGTGAGGTGGGATCATAATACTATAAAGATAATTAGTGACGTCACATGTCCTTGTCCAACAGTCAGATCAGACCTCCTTCTGCACTTGTACAAAAACTAACCTGGTATCTCTGGACTAGGTAAATTGCATTTACACAAGAAAATCGATCAAAACATAATAGAAAATATAGTGTACTGTATATACCCCAGTTTAATTAAACATAAATAAAATGATCAGATTCATCACAATAGTTTATCCCTTTAATCCACAGTCACTGGGAAGGACGAGCTTGCCTGGTCAGCTCCATCAGCACAGTGACTGACAGCGTATAAAACATAAACTGAAGGACTGATGTTCACAGAGGAATGAGGGAAATGTCATTTCAACAGCTTCAGATGCTTTTGTGCTCTGTGTTGTTGTTGGTGGTGGTGAGTGAGCTGTTTGACATCGTGCCATGCTCCGAATTGCCCCTCCTCACTCTGAGGCTTCAGATGAAAGTCCAGCTTTGACCCCAGATCACATGTGACTGGCATACAAAGGGCTGGCACGGTGGCAAACAGACTGCAGGGAAACACAACGAGGGAACTCGGTGTCCAGGAGGGAAGGGGAATGTAGGGAAGTGACAATCGGGCTTTCCCCTGAAAATCAAATACTAAACTCCACACAGAGGGTCCGGCAATGTCCTGACAGTCAACAGGGATGGTTTAGCCCACCTCAAACTCACTGTGAAATCTTCGGTGACGTGGATTCACTGGAGTCTGTTAAACCTGTAATTTGTTACACACCCATGAACTGGGAAGTAAAGAGACGAGGACACAGTAAGTCTATGCTTTCTGTCCCCCTTTTGTTCCTCTCCTTATAAGTCCAGGCAGTTTTTATTCATATTATCAAATATTACAAGTGGCAGATTTGCCACAAAAGGGCTTTACAATCTGTGTAGCATACAACACCCTTTGTCCTGAGACCCTTAAATCAGAGAAGGAAAAGGGGAAAAAACTTTGGGGGACCAAAGAGTTGGACATAGAGTATGAGACAATAATAGCATGTTTCCTACGGTTGATATAGTGGCATTACTAGATAACTATTACTGAATAACTCTGCTGTTATCACCTCTTATGTGTGTTACCTTTGTAAATGTGACTGACATCACAGGTATAACAACTATGTCACATGACAGCATCATGAAGACAAACACATCAAGAGAAAAACACTGGACAGCTGACACTTTGCAGGCTGTGTTTCCTGCTGGCACTAAAAATTAGGATGCATTTATAAAAGGTTAGACAAATATAAAGCTTCTTTTTGACTTGGTATTGTAGCAAAACAAAAACAAAACAAAACAAACACATCCCAAATCTTTGTTAGCTTGAACAGAGTGTGTGTGTGTGTGTGTGTGTGTGTGTCCCACCATGTTCAAGGTGTTAATGGTTTTATAATGATAATAATTTTAAAAATGCTTTTAGGGCAACAAGAAATGTTATTATGTACTATAGCTCCCCCCATGTAGCCCAGAATAGTCAAACCAAGGCAGGTCTTGTTATAGCTGCTTATGTCAGGCTCCAATAAAGGGATCAGGGTTACAACCACAACCAGGGGGGAATGGAAAGAGCAAAGAGAAAATAGAAACAGAATGTTCCAACAAATAAAACAACTACACACAAATACATATCACATGGATTCTAGACTCATATAAGTTCACACATATAAATGCACAAACTGGTATTTTAAAACTGTTATATTTAGTTTCACTGATTAAGATTGGATTATAGGCTACTGGCACATTTTTTGTAACCTTTGTTGTTCTATCTTTATTTTTAGGAGAATATTAAAGATTTTAATATGTTGAGTGATTTTTTTCAACCCGATAAACATGCAGGCTAAAGCAGGAAGTGGCAGAAGTCTTTTTTTAGGCCGGAGTCTGCGCCATCAAGTTAAAGTAGTTTTAGTCAAAACCAGGGGGCTATGAAAGGCAGATGTAGCCTGCGAGACACGACCCGGGGGAAAAGCGCAGGTAGCCCATAGAAGAGGAGGACATCGTGTGTCCTCATCTGGATCACGGCAGCTGGACGGTCCGCGGACTCTTTAGTGAGTAAATCCAACCGAAACTGTCACAGTGTGAGGGAACAAAGATTCCCGCCACATAGTTCCAGATGTGGAAAGTAACTAAATACATTTACTCAAGGTACAACTTTGACGTACTTGAGTAAATGCGTTTTCTGTTATTTCATACTTTAACTTTACTTAAAAAAAAAAACTCTACTTTGTACTCGTTACATTTATTTGATAACTTTATTTACTGGTTACTTTTCAGGAAGAGGTTAATAAAACAAAATACAACATAATCAAAGGATTTATTGAACCTTGGTGTAAAATTCACAAATTCAAAGCATCTCAAATAGTTATACTTAGCTCTGCCTTTACCAGCTGCAACATTAAATGGGATGTACATAACAATACATCAACAATTATATTGAATCATTTTGCAGAATGAGCACTTTTACTTTTGGTACTTCAAATATATTTTATGCTAATACTTTAGTACTTTCACTTAATTAACATTTTGAATGCAAGACTTTAACTTGTAAGAGTATTTTACACTGTTGTACTTAAGTAAAAGTCTGAGTAGCCTACTTCTCCCCCTGATGCATAGCTCTTCAGTGGAGTGCTCCCAGAAGCTGTGTTGTACATTTAGCCTATAAATATAAGTAGCCTGCTTCAAACTATTCTTACAATCAGAATAGTGCAGGAGACCACACAAACTAGTCCTTCAAAATGACTGAATTCTTCCTGATGTTATAATGAAGTTATAGGCATCCTATAGATATACTGTAGGGGAATAGATCAAATAATCTGCCAGTTAAATTATTATCATAGAAAACACCGTCATAAATATTATTGTAGTGGTGACAAGGGACGTGTCTATATGTTGTATCGGTAGTCTATGGCCTATCATTGATCCCTGTACCAATGAAATGCGTTCAGGATGTGTGTTCTGGACAAAGACAGAGCAATCCGACCCCGGCCGCTTGTAGCCCGTGACCAAACAATGACGTCGCTGTTGACAGGGGGCTGCGGTGGACCTCAGTGCCGGGACGGTGAAGCCTGACGTGTGTCTGTCTGTGTATCTGTTTGCAGAGACTGGTTATGGATTTTAACCTGCTGACGGACAGTGAAGCCCGCAGCCCGGCGCTGTCGCTCTCCGACTCCGGGACCCCGCAGCACGACCAGGGGTGTAAAGGCCAGGACAACAGCGGTCAGTGAAGCCCAGCATGCCTCGCTCCATCTGTGTGCACGCATGGTCCTAATGATCGATGTCTACCGACCGGATGTCACGCTTTGCCCCACTGTACCATAATCTTCAAAGTTAAATAAAATGCTCAGAAATGTCTAGTTATAGATCAACTAAGCCTAATAATACTAATAAATTACACAATTTGAAGCCTATCATTTCTGTGTAGCCTACTTGATCATACCAGACAACTAATCCCACAGCTGGAGCACAGTATATCCGGAGCTATTAGAGCTAATTAATAAAAAAAAACAAACACCCTATTAACCAACGTGCACGCTGTAATGGGAGCGTTATTGCCTGTTTCCCTGACGCTGCCTTTCCACAGCGACCTTTTCGTCCACAGGCTCAGGTGATGATGAGCTGTAATAACAAATAACTCATTTGATTTTGAATAGGAAAATTAATTGGAAAAGGAGTAGACCGGATGTCTCCTGGGAGCACCGGACTCAGCACGGTGGCCAGAGTTGATCCAGATGGAGAAACGAGTCTATAGACCTGTTTGGTCGTCTGTTGTTTCACATCTGCATTTTAAAAATCGAACGAAACTACTTCAACTAATTGGGGCTGAGGAAAGCAAACATATCGAATCAAATAACCTAAATTATGATATGGCAAAATAAAACTCAAGGCCCATTTACCGGATATCAGGGTATTTATTTAGATCAGCTGCAGTTCCATGACCAAAACAGATGGAGGTCATTCTGTCCTCTCTGCTGGGAGGCCTTGCTCTGCTCCTCTGCTTCTGAAACCCCTGTTACATAAACGGACCCACGTCTAGCTGTGTCATATTATCAAGTGTTACATTGGCTATTGCAAATAGTCACCTGGTTTTCTGATCAGTCTCTCTCTAACTCCTCCATCTGACATTTTAACACACCCACTTGAATTACTCCAAGGGGGAGTGAGTGCGTGTTTATGTGTGTGGAAGCCAGTGTAATGGCGGTGTGTGGTTAGAAATCCAGCCCTAACAAACCGGCAAACACACGGAAAGAAAGCGGTGGGAAAGGCTTTCATGTAGGTTATCTTTCATTATGGAGCTATTTTGGTTTAAATGTCCCATTCATTATATTTAAACAATCCCAGGTGACAGTTTTCATACTAATTCCTTACTGACTACCTTTATTTTGAAGGTAAAACCATAATCCGAGGTACACTGTGGTTAGGCGTGTGCACCTGTATCAAAAATGTGGTACCTGTGTGCAAATTTACATCGAATTAACATGTTTTACTAATCAAATCGATATTTTCATAATAAATGCCTCAAGTATTTACGTTATTGAAGTACGTATTTGTGTAGTGCTGCTCGATAAAATGGCTGAAATAATAACAATACGATGCATTTTAAAATTAAAAACCCACATAGTGCTTATTTTATAGACTTGTTTCAGAATTTCAAGACATAATATGTTTAAATTTGACAACATGTAGGCCAGCAAATTAAAATAATTATAGGGTTCAACATTTATTTCTCAACATTTGCTGACGTGTAGGAAATGAAATGTACCACAGTAAATGTATTTTACAGATTATAGACCTTTAAATGCGGTTTGGAACAAGGTTCTCTGAGAGTGAGGGGTACATCTGGGGGGCTCTGGCCCTTCTTGGCCAGCTCTTTCACACACAGACTGTTCCAGCTTTAGTGCCACTTGTAAAATGACTTTCTTCCATGATAGGAACTCCTTTTTTGTTTTATCTGGGGAACAGAACAAATGATCCATGATGTGATTAAAAAACATTGCATCACAGACATTTCTTACAGCTGATTGTTGGCTTTTCTTTTCCTTTAAAATGAATACAAATACATCCTTACATGTGGATGTGGTTATAGTGAGGCACAATACCACTGCTGCGCCTTACCACACCAGCAGACGCCCTTGCCGCAGGCATAGACAGGTGTACTATCATCTCACACCCGTGACTGAACGGTCTGACTGTGTGTCTTTACAACAGCCTTTACAAGTTTTCTCTCCGAAACAATGGTGCAGTAGAGTAAAACCCGACTTTGATTTTACTCTTCAGAGCATGTTTGTCAGACTGCTTTTGAAAGCTGTGACATGGGCAACATATACTGGCATTTGACAGTCTATATTACTGTCTAAGTGAACAATATGAAAGCTTTTTTTCCCAGTATATTCAGATGTTTTCCATTTTTCCAGTTGTTGAAAAGTGATTTGGTTAAAAGCCTCTTGTAGTCCGTTTCTAGATTAAAGCTCTCTAAGAAGCTGACCTGGAACAACTCTGTCATGTCGGCACATTATCAGTCAGATTGCTGCTATTGTTGGTCAGTGCATCGCTCTAAAAAGGGATGCCCTTTTCACTGTATTGTGTTATAGACTTTGGCCTTAAGTGACAGCTTACCCAGTGTCAGTTTACTGCCAGATAACAGCCTCAGCCTGGCCCTTATTGGTTTTGCTGGTGGCCCTGTGGAGCCTCTTTTTAAACCCCACTGATCATTTCAAACTGCTCCCAGAGAGCTAAGCCCTCACCAAACAGAGCCCAACCTGCCCCAGTCACAAAAGCTTGATCCACAGGATTAGCTAGCCAACTAATTTCACTTCTTTCTGTGAGGTCCTCAAATTGCGGGAGTCGGATCTAGCAGAGAGGAGCCCTGGCAGACACAACATGGATGTGTGGTCCTTTAGACTCACTACACTAGGGGCCAAAGGCAATCACTCACTGCTGCTGCACATCTTTAAATGTAATGGAGCGTTTGGAATCATTCTCTCTTGGCAACATCACACCCATGATTGCCTTTTTTCAGTGTATGAAATGAAGGGATTTCAGAAGATGCCTGATTTGAGAATAGTATACAGTTGGTTTCAGCAGGGACTGGTTGGTGCCGGTGCTGTCAGAAAAATGATACACCGTAGGTTTGAAAGGGGTCATAGCTCTGCTTCTCTGTTAGGTACTTCTGTCTACATTTTAGAAGCTCTCTGTGTGTGCATATGTTTAGTGCATTAAATGCTTTCATCACATACCTACGGTGCCACTTTATTTGGCAGGCCCCACAGTGTCACAATTATTTCTTTTTATTTCTAACTTGTTTAGACTGTCTGTTACTCAAAGCACAGTGGGCTCTTTGAAAATCAGTGCACCTGGAAGGAAAGGCTTCCAATTATAGGAGAATGTTTCTCCCTGTAAATTATAAGATTTTGGTTTAAATTGATCTTTTTTTTTTGTAGTTATCGGGTTCTTTGTACCATTTTGTTGTCATTGCTGTAGCCTGTTATTCTGTCATCTCTCACCAAACCAGTTCATGTCCTTAGGACAAATGTTTTCCTTCTGTGTTTCTGCAGACACAGAGAAATCCCACCAGAACCAGCTGGATGAGTCCAGCGCTGAGGATGGCTCTCTGAAGAAGAAGCAGCGAAGGCAGAGGACTCACTTCACCAGCCAGCAGCTCCAGGAGCTGGAGGCTACCTTCCAGAGGAACCGCTACCCTGACATGAGCACCAGGGAGGAGATTGCAGTGTGGACCAACCTCACTGAAGCACGGGTCAGGGTGGGTAGACACCATCCACCACAGAATTCTGAAACATAGAACCCCGACCACATTTTATTATGGCAGTTGACTTCAGTAGATACCCTCTGTGGATGAAGGTGTGTGAAAAAAGACAAGACGGTTACACACACAAATAATCTTAGTTTGTTATACATCTGTGTCCAGTGCTGTTGACCAGATAGCCATGACATTTGGTATGCATATTTGTGGTGCACAGATTGCGACTTTCCCCTAGCACCACTACTGGGTCAGAGTTTCCACTTGTATCCAGAGCATAGCAAAAATGCAGTGCAGAGGAGAATGGAAAGAAATTTAGGGAGCACCTGCTACCCAGTGGAGACAATTTTTCCATTATGGACATATGAGCTTATCTCCAGCTCAAAGGTCATACACACACAATTGTATAACACAAAGAACATTCAAGCTCCCAAAGGATTTAACTCTTGGATTTCAGTTTAAGTTTATTGACCCCATGGCTCTGAGTGCCCCCCTCAAACTATATATTTTTAGGCCCACTGCTGTAAAAGCTGTGTTCACACTGTCTGGAGCCCTGCATTAAAAGCACAGCCTTCTCATTCATTTGAATAAAATCAATCCATCTGCACAGGAGTGGTGTCAAACCAGTGGGCCGCACTCTACAGAAACAACACTCCTCAGAATCTCAAACAAGCTACTAATGCATGGTGATGCAGGAGAATGCTCAGTTCTGGCTCTGCTGGATCTCAGTGCAGCTTTTGACACTGTGGATCACAGTATCCTCATTGACAGATTTAGGCAACGGGTGGGTATCTCTGGGTCAGCACTTCAGTGGTTTCCTCCCTACCTTTCTGATATGACTTTTTCAGTAGTTGTTGGTAATCACGCCTCTTCATTTTCATCTCAGCTGTATGGTGTACCACAAGGTTCTGTTTTGGGTCCCATCCTAATCGTCTTGTACATGCTTCCTCTTTGGGCGTATAATAATTTGGTTTTAAAGAAATATTATAAGACTGTTATGTCGATGATACACATTTCTTTTAACCATCAAAATATGACTAAATTATCCATACTAAATGCCTGTGCAATGGAAATAAAAAAAAGGATGGCAAATAGCATTTTACAGTTTAACAACGATCCAACAAAGGTCCTTATTTTTGCCCCTGTTGGTCTTGTTCCTAAGGTGCAGAAACACCTTAGGTCTTTTTCTTCGTGTGTCAAATCTGCAGTCAGAAGGCACACTGGACCAAGCATTCACTCATGAGCAACCTGTAAAGTGTTTGACTCCTTCCTGCTTCTTTCAGCTGAGAAATATTGCTATGGTGTCTCAGATTGAGATAGAAATGATCATTCATGTTTTTGTTGTATCCTGATTAGGCTACTGTAACTCAGTATTCACTTGTCTCATAAAATTTTTTTTTTTAGATTGTTTACAAGTGGTCCAGATTACACCAGTTTTGATCTCTCTACACTGGCTCCCCATCAAATTCAGAATTAGCTTTAAGATCCTGGTACTTACATTCAGAGCCTTGCATGGTCAGGCATCTGCTATATTAGAGTTCTTCTTCAGCCTTACAACTAGTAGGTTTCTAAGATCATTGGAGTTTGTTGGCTGTTCCTCACTCCAGAATTAAAACAAAAGGTAACTGTGCCATTTAAGTTGTGGAACTCTGGAACTCTCTCTCAGTACGATTAGGGATCTGTAGACACTTTAAAAAAGCAGCTTGAGACCCATCTTCTTTAAATGGTCTTTGAGTAGTAATTTTATTATGTTATAATTTTTTGTAGTGCTCTTATTATGAAGCTATTGCTATTTTATAGGGCATAGCCTAGTTATATTCTATACTTTTGTGTGAAGCACTTTTGATCAGAAAGGTGCTATATAAATAAAAATTACTTACTTTGATGAAACAACACAGGGTAGTCCAACAATTCATCATTTTTAAAGCTATAGAATCATTGTTAATGTGGCACTGCTGAATGTAAAAGCAACATTTTCAAAGTTTGCAATATCCATATAAGATGTGATAACATATCAGTGTTGTGTTTACAACTTGTTTCTGCTGCCCCCAAGTGGCACAGAATTTATTTAGATTTTTTTTTTTTTTACTTTGAGCAATTGTCAAAATGTTTAAACTCAGCTTTCCTTATAAAATCATGAAGAAAACCTAATCTAGAAAGAAAATATAAGGCTATGGCCATCTTATGGGAAACTGTGTAACACTGTCACAAATTTTTCAGTGGCCATCTGCTCAGTTTCATAAAACTTTGAAATACTCCATTGTCATTCCCAAAGCTAAACAGTGGTATAATCATAAACATGTTGTAGCCATGGAGGCCTCAGTCTGACAGAATGAATTAGTTACTGCAGGGAAGAGATACGAGTCCTAAATGGATAAGAAATACAAGAAATAAATTGTTTAGCAGGAAGAATATTTTATTAGCTTTTACCAAAGCTTCAGTTCACACACTAAACCTAAATGCCAAAGGTGCCCACACCCAGTGGTTTGGTCATTGTAGCTATATGGAGCAGGAGGACAGGCATTCTGATGCATGACAATACAATCACTGGCCGGCCTGACAAGTAATGGATCAAATTAATGTTGGCTGGATGAAAGGTCACATAGTGTTCACTCTTGGTTGTTATTTTGAAGGGACAACAGACTACACATTCTAATGTCTGTCAGTGGCCCTGCATGTAGGCAAATTCCTACATGCCCAGAACATGTCACCCGTCAGCTTGATTTACGTGATTTGTCAGAGAGAGGCTGTTAATCATCAAAGCTGCAACCTGACAGGACATATTGATAAAGGGCCTATAGACAGAGGGTGTCTTATGCTGTACAGACTGGAAAGACCTTTGATGCCAATGTATGATTTGTGATTTTGAGCTATATATTCATTTGGCTACTGCATTTTTTACCTGTGACATGTAATGGGTTATTTAGAGTATGGCACAAAACAGCTCACATGCTACATGTGTTCCGGTTTACAGCCCTACCTCGCTGCAGTTCTTTGAGCTAAGTGCTAAAGTCAGCATACTCACAACTAAAAAGTCCAAATGCTGATGTTTGGCCCATAATGTTTAACACAGTTAGCAGCTGTGCCGCTGAGATTGATGGGAATATCTGTAGTTTTGCTGTCATTTGATTGTAAATCAAGTGTAATTTTGCCCTGATATACTAGGTGAAAGATTGTTCATCTTTCCTTCACCCTGAGGGGAACATTACCAAATTTCATGAAAATCCATCCAGCAGTTGTTGAGACATTTCAGTTTGATCAAAAGAAATTAAAGATCAAAAGTCAGGGGATCACCAAAGTCAGTAGAATACATCATGTGGGCATCGTGGATGTCTGCACGGCTTTCAATCAATTTTAGTGCCATGTGTGAGAGATGTGTCTAAACAAGAAACCTTGCCAGTAGTTTGTTAGCAAGTACGGTATATGGGGAGATAACATGGCGGCTGTTGGCTTTATAGCCTTTTACACAGTTGGTCAAAAATCAGCTAATACAGGTTTAAGGTTTGGCAACAAGTTCAATGTGTTATCTCCACAGTGAACCCTTAACTTCAGTTACACTAGGTAAATGTCTCACAGCTTCCTGCATTGGTACTAAATGCATTATTCCAACAGAGACTGAACTGATAAGGGTTGTCGTCTTAAAATGACTAGCCTTTGAAACATGTGCCCGAGTTATACTGTACATATATCTCCATTATCTGAATATCTGCTTTCCTGCTGGGAATTCTCAGTTCCTGATTTTGAAAGAAGTCACAGGCAAAACCCAGCATCATCAGAAGTGTACGGTTACTTAGTTTAAATTTGCCCAATACAGTCAGTGCCATTTATATTATCATTTGACCATTTCATTAAAGACCTATGCATGTGGCTGGAGACTAGCCACCAAATAACCTTGACATTCAGCCTTGTCCACAGATTGCCTCCAAGTCACAGAAGGATTGAGTAACTTCTGTCCTCCAGAGCGGGGTTTCCCCCTGCTGTCACCGAGAGGGACGGAAAGCTCAGAGGCTACACTTTATACTCACATTAACGGCCAGCGGCATTCTGTTGCTATAATAACAGAGAACTGAATGATACTGTAGACAGCAAGTATGCCAAGAGGGCAGACAGATGGCTGAGCATCAACCCAAGAAATGTCAGTAAAAGTTTTATGAGGGTTAAAGAGATAAAACATTTGATACCAATTTATTTTTGGTATCAAAAAGCAAAGGTTTGTCCAGGCTTGTACCCACAGAAGAACATGGCACAGTTTTCATTTCCAAAAAACCTCAATTTAGATTTTCCACTAAAGCTTAATCCAGTTCATATCCTCTAAATATAGGCTCATAAAATGACAAATGTGATGATTGCCATTCTCTGACATTTCTTTCAGTGGGATCTCACTATTCAAATAAGTCAGTGATTAGTTTTAATAAGCCTTGTCTAATATGTCTGTTTGATGATACACTCCAACTTACTTTCTGGGATCATTATGTCTTTCAAAAATTTTGGATACATATGCACACAATATTATTTAAAGTATTTGAGAGGGATACTATGACGGAATGTGTTTTAGAATTAAACTTTACTCAGTCCTGACACTTTCTCATTCCTCAAAGAAAAAGTTATTTGAAAATAACTACTTCTTCTGTTCTTTTCACTTTTGCGAAGAACGAAACAATCTAAATTATAAGTAAAGTTCTGCATCTCACACATTGATGAATGGGCAAAATGATTTACTACACCCGCCTGCCGTAGGTATTCCTGTCTGTCGCTGTTGTTTGAAAATTCCCATGACCTCGTTTGGGACTAAATGGTTTAGAAAATGGATGGATGGATGGATGGATGTTTCAAAATTCCAATAAAGTAATCTTAGCTTTTTATCCTTGATGTCTTAACAGCTTTTAATGGTGTGGGCTTCCTATTTACAAATAATGGGGCGCAGTGGAGTAGAAAACATGTTTTCAACAATATCCTAATTACTTAGAGTATACATGGCCTGCCAGGAAATAAAGCAGCTTGCT